ATGGCATACATAATTATGTCAAAGTTTTTTTCCTCCATCAAAAAGTGACTGTTTTAAGCCTTCCAATAACTCGTCAAGTTTTCTATCACGGAAGAAATCATTTTATCCTTCAGATAATCTGCAAATCACTTACAACTTGTGTAATCAACAAAGAAAAACAATTTCCTACCATTTTTATTCAGCAGAAACAAGCGCAGCTCAGTTTGGTTTTCGACAGCGGAGACAACAATGGCTTATCCGGCTCATCTTCCCCCAGGTGAAAATGGCTGATCTTGCCCCACCCGTGGCCATTTTCGATTAATGACACCCGCTAAGGAAAATAACCATGCACCGTAGATAACAACCATCTCATTTTAAAGGCAAAACATGTCTTAGTTATCAGGGGCGATATGTTACCGGGTGCTGAGCGTGAGAACGTTGCCGTCTCACGTGAAAGACTGCAGCATCGTAAGCGAACGGCACATGGAAGCTCAAGTCAATCAGCGCCAGAGGAGCATAGGCGGCGGAACGGGGAGGGCACCGGGGCACCGTGCCCCCCTTTGATTTTGGCATTTTAACATTAGCCCTATGGGCGTTGCATGGAAAGAATGGGACCAAAAGTCGGCAGTGCCCCCCCCCCCTTAATTGAAGGTGTTCCGCCGCTACTGCATGGAGCTGAGAAACATGGGGTGGCTAAACTTGCCCTTTGGCTCATCTATACCTCACTCTCCCCTATTTGGGGCTCGCAACCTTGATTCGTTAAAGTTATTTGTCTGTTCATTATAAAAGCTGTCAAATTTGCCGTATCATTAAACTTTTATTGAGTTTGTATTTCACACTTAACTAAAATGAACAATTTTGTCACTGGCTTCTTTTATGAATGGAATTGGATGGTCGCATGAATGAACGAATGAATAGCTCCATTTGAGCATCAGCTGAAATCAATCCTAAAATTTAATCTACCAGTCTGCAACGAAAAGGTTTAAAAACCAGTGCAAGTTAGGTGCAGTTTCTAATCTATGCCGTTTTTTATTAAGTGTCTCATAGTTCCTTAATCTTGAGCCGCTTCTCTCACGATTCATTTTATGTGGTGCTTACATTGTTCAAGAAGTTATATTATTCGAGCTCGTTGGTCTTGAAAACTGCTATCGAAGTAAATTAAAGTGTTTCGGGCTTCGGCACTTAACCCTCGCCCTGGCAGGGGGGGGGTCGATGCGACCCCCCTAAGGTTTTTCGAAGATAACGTAAAAACGGCGGCGCACAGCGCCGCCAAATTTAGCACAGCCTATGGGGCAACCTTTTTACATATGACCTGAAAATTTCAGGTCCGGGTGACCTTGGGTCAGGTCACCAGGTCAGAAAAACCGGTACGAGGTCATGGTCAAATTTCAATTTTCTTTTTGCACCTGTCCAACTCACAGTTTTGGACTGATTTCCTTCAAACTTTCAGGATGTGCTAAGTTCACCGAGTTGTATAACATATAGTTCGGGTTTTTTGATGTCACTGACCTGAGGTCAGTTAGAGGTCATTACGTCGTAATGTTAAGCCTATGGGAAAATACTAAATACGGAAAATACTGGAGATATCCGCTTCGTTCTATCATTTTTGTGCTTTGAAACCACAGTACTTAACAGCAGGTCACTTGGTGCTTCTTTGGTTGGTGTACTTATCCATGGGTCAGGTCAAATGAGGTCAACTGAGGTCAAATGACGTTTTTGCCAATAACTTGGCACATAATGACGCTAGAGCTTAAAAAATGGTATCAATGTGTTCCTGGTGATCAGCCGAATAGAATAATATGCAATATGATGCAATTTGGTTAACTTGAACTTAATTTATTAATTTAAGTTTACTTAAAACTTAAGAAATATTTAAGTACACTTACGCAAGCTAAAAAGTATATCATTAGACGCGCCTTAACGTGCTGAGTTCACTGGTGCTTTTCTTTTTGCTCTATCTTAATTAGATCAAAAGTTATAAGCGAAAAACTTTTGACCTGTTTTTAGCGAAATTTTTACATTTATACCCCCCAAAACCCCCCTAAATGTTGACCTAGAGCAACCAAATTTGCACAGGGACGAGAACTCCAGGGGGCCCACCTACCTATCAAATTTGGTGTTTCTAGGCGCCATAGGAGCCAATCGCGAGGGGGGGTCGCATCGACCCCCCCCTGCCAGGCCGTGTTATGAAAAATGCCCTGCCAGGGCGAGGGTTAAAAAGCAATCGATATTTAACCCTCACCTATTTAGGCATTTCTTTTCAGCGTCTTACATGTAGCGGAGGGGCGTAGAAACCCTCAGCCATTCGGCCCTTGATAAAAAGAGCCAGAGCTTCGCTGAAAAAATAAAAAGAGCGTGCTGCTCGTGACGAGAGAAATCCGATGATTTGAGGGTCCTGGTCATCGCTGACGAGAAAAAGCCAATTATTTTTATGTCCTGGTCAATGCTGAGATCCTAGGTCACTGGTTGACCTTCCAGATCAGGTTAATAACCCAAAAGCACGGAAAATTTGGTCCTGCTAGAATTTCTACAAGTGAAGTTTGCTGGGACTTGGCTTGCTTCTGACTCCGAATTTGCACTTGCTTTGATCAAAGATGATGTATCAAAGCATTTGGGGTAGGACGGGTCACGCCAGATCACCCATTAGGCGTTCTGCCGGCTATATAGAATGTTAACCAGCACTTACAGCCTTGCAACATATTGCATAGGCACTATAACTGATACCTAAGTATGCCTAGTTTTCAAATGCTAAAATGGGTGCTAAATTTCAAACCAACACTTCATAAAAATTAAAAACCACAGTAAAAAGGTGTAAATTTAAGGAAGTTAACCGAGATCATTTCAAGTAAATGACCTTAACCTGAGTTTCACGTGACCTTGGCACCCACAACAATTAATGAGACAAACATTAGATAGTATATTTCACATGTTGTCACGTTGCTAATCACGAAACGACTATGGAAACACACAGAAGATGTGCGCTGACTTTCAATTGCTATTCTGGCCTGACATGATCTTGAAAAAAATAATCACAAGTTAAAGGTAATTTGGTTCAGGGATTTAAAATTCTCAGACAAGATGCAAAAATGATAAGGGCTATTTAATTTTCCGGGAAGTTGTAACATTGATTAACTCCAGGGCACCAAAGAATCGTCGCAATCCTTCGCTTTGCCGCGATTTATTGGTGTAAAACAGCGGGCGCGGTCTACTTACCTCTACTTATATGTGTGGTGAGGGCTAATATTCATTTTATCTGTGTTGATGAATGTGCAACGATTTCTATATGAACTGAGACCAGTCCATATGAGTATGTTTTTCTCACGGACAATTGACAATATAAAAAACAATGCGAATAAAACCAAACGTTTCGGACAACAACGTGCCTTCGTCAGTGGAGAAAAATGAGTGTATAGGTTTAACATCGATGATAACTAAATGCGGCACTGTCTCGGTCTGGCCAGCCGGGTTGCCGATAAAATACACAAATGTTTATAAGCTTCCATGATGTGCTTAAAAAACTGCTGAAAATATATCTTTTTAAAAATAAAGATAACTACTTCATCGATGTTATCGAAAGAAAACATGTATGCCTAATTACTTATTTCTTGCCACTGACGGAGGCACTTTTTTGTGCGAAACGTCTGGTTTTATTCGTATTGTTATTGTATTGTCATTCCCTGTGAGAAAAAAGGATAACTCTTCAGTTAGTAACCATAACAGCGAAACGGCTTATTGTAACACAATTCACTGTGTATACGAAACCCATAAGTCCCTAAAATAATTTTATTTACAACCTTTAAAAAGATACAGCTTATACAGCTTGGGCATACAATTTTTTCTGCATTAAGATAATATTAATTTATCTCCACAGAGTATGGTAAATTAGTGCTGCTGAAGTTCGCTTTCGAAGCGTCTCCTCCAGGCATTCCACAGCTCTCGTGCCATTTTGGATCACGGAACATGGCTGGGCGCAGGACAGGTCACGTTGTCTGCGAGCTTGGACGGACCACGTGACCACCTCCTCCACTCCCCCTCACTCCCGTCCCCTTCCCCAGCAGGGCGTCCGATCTAACCGCGCCCCAGGCAGTCGGCTCGGTCCGACCCTCCCCATGGTCGAGCCACGGTGCCGCCTGAGTTTGTGCCGGGTGCAAAACTGGAGCAGTAACTGGCGCCGGAACTAGTAGTCAGCACGACCATCGTCAGATGGCAGGAGTAAATGGAATAAGCGGTTCCAGGTTTCAGAAGGAATGGGGCAGGAAAAAGCGCTGAAAACAATGTTTTGCTAATATAGCCATAAAAAGTTCACTGAATTAGGAGAGCAGCACATCAGTTAAAAGCCCTTCAGATGGTGGTTTTAATAAGCACACAATCATTTCCCAATTCGCCTCCAACGGTGTGACAGGCAAAGAATACGCTGAAATACTAGTGTGTACAGAAGCAACTGCGGGTCCCTGTACCTATTCCGTCTCAAAGTTATGGGGGCACCGTCCCCACAGCCCCAGAGTTGGGGAGGGAGGCAAGCTTCCCCCACACTGCCTCCCCCCCCGGTTACCGGCTACCGCTTTGTTTGTTTGTTTGTTTTGTTGGGTTAGGCCCTTTCGGTCGACAAGACCATTGCAGAGCCGGTAGGATGATAGGAATTAGGGGGAGACATTGGTCTGGGCAGGCACCCTAGTGAGTCGCCGGGGCTGAGCCCGTCCAGAGGACAGGCCACCCAGCCCCAAGGCACTCACTGCACCCGGCTACGGGGTGCGCTCCCTCAGGAGCAGCGGTGCCGCTCCAAGGGAGCAGCCCGCATGAGATAAAGTTGCCTGTCCAGCCCGGAGGGGGGTTGCGGCGTGGAGGAGAAGGATTTCAGTATCCTGAGGATAGAAGCACGGAACGGTGATGACCGGCTACCGCGCCTATGACGCTTACTCTACAAAAAATAAGTTGGTCCGTGGTCGGCGAATCAGCAATGAAGGGCAGAGTCCCTTTGCGTAGATGTCAGGATAGGCAAAGGATAGATGGCAGCACACGGTGGTTCCGTTCCGTGAACCGTCGCCAGGGACCACCACGGACCACCGTGTGCTGCCACCTATTCTTCGGTTTCCCTGTACATTATTTCACCTTGGCTGGAAGAAAGGAAAATTTGATGTAGACATTTAATAGTTTTACTTTGACTTTTAATTAAGTTTAGTTTACTGATTAATATCTCTTTTTATTTACGGCTGCTTCTACGAGACTACAAAGCTTTTTCGATTTTTTGTGACGTCATATAAATGCTGAAATAACACAATATTTCGTAAGGACAAGAGCCTTGACCAAACTTGAAATTGTAAGAAAAGTGAGCGAGGACAGTGGGGTGTGTGGGGGTGATTCTTTATTGGAGTAAAATTTTGGGGGTGGTTTGAGGAATATTGCGATATTGTGAGCATCTTATTCGGGGAAGTACTTCCCACGTATTTTTAATCAAGCCGCCGCCATTGATCATTCATTGATGACGATTGAAAACTCAGCAATGGGGTGAGTACCTACCTCAGGGCTCAGCCCTTGCCTCAGCACACCCAGGCTCAGTCTCACCACTGACCACAGGATAAATATACTATCTACCATGTTCAATTTAACTGCTCGGTGCTCAGTTCAACAGCTTCATTCACATTGACCTTGAGTGTAAACAATCAATTGCGGAAATCTGTCATGCCATTCTGCGGCAGAATATTTGCTGTGATGTCACACTTCTTGCTCCATCCCCTGCGTTGCCTGTTGATGCCTACTCTGCCATTCAAAGGCAAAAACAATTACATTGGGTCAGCAACCATTACTTCAGGCCTTGCTTCAGGCCAGAGGTCACCAAAAGAATCAGTTTTGCCTTTATACAGTACCACTGTGCATGCATCATGATCTGGGTATTATTCTATGATACATTGATAATGGAATGGTTATATTCCATAGTGCATGTATTTTGCAGTGAAAAAAAGTCCTCAGTACATCCAACTTCTCTTGTGTTGTGCTTCATGAGCTTGCAAATATCATGATATGGTGATGTATCCTTAGCATTCATTCCAGCATTTCATATTATTTTTGTTTCAGAATTTTCTTGTAGAGTGCCACATGTCAGTTTAGTACCTACCGGCGTATCACATCCAGAGAAGAATGTCAATATAGAGCTAAGGTTTGGCACTCTTTCAAAATTGCTGATGTAGGTAACGCCGACCAGTTCCTGAATAAGCGGGATGACTTATGTATGAGAATAGCTGGAAAGGAGCCTCATCTTATCATTCTGACAGAAGTTATCCCAAAAGCGCAAACCATTCCAATTTCCCCTGCATTGTTGGCAATCCCAGGCTACTTCTTATATACCAGCTTTGATTGCACTCTGCCAAATTTGGGCGCAAGTGGCCTTCGCGGAATTTGTATGTATGTCTGTGACCAGCTACACGCTACCGAGGTGAAATTTCCAGCAACCGTTTTCAAAGAACAACTGTGGCTGAGACTACAGCTTAAGAACTCTGACAGCATGCTGGTGGGTGGCATTTATCGCAGTCCATCAAAGGAACCTGCAGCTAGCACTGATGACTTGTGTGACCTCCTCCGCCATGTATGCCATATGAACCCATCTCACCTACTTATCACAGGAGACTTTAATATGCCGAACATTGACTGGGATGCAAGGTATTCATCGGCTCCAGTGGGTCACTATTCACACTCATTTGTTGATGCGGTGAATGAGTGTTACCTGTTTTAACACATCAGACAGCCAACCAGGTACCGGCATGGTGAAACCCCAGGTGTTCTTGACCTTGTGATGTCAAATGAAGAGGGCATGGTGAGGAACCTCAGGTACTCAGCTGGTCTGGGAGCTAGTGATCATGTGATTCTGGAATTTGACCTCATGTGCTACTCCATGTACCAAGACCAAGGGCGTAAAAAGTTAGATTTTGCACGTGCTGACTTCCAGCTATTGAAAAGTATGCTCCTCAGTGTGGAGTGGAACCAGCTACTGGTGATGGATTTCCTGAGTGGTTATGCGTTCTTCAAAGCTAACCTTCTCAGATGTATCCAGGACACCATCCCCATGTCATGTCCAGTGAAGAGGAAGAGGAACATTTACATCAACAGGAGAGCCCTGCAATTGAAGAAAAGAAAGGAGTTCCTCTGGAGGCAGTACGTGGCGTCCAAAAACCCGATTGATCTTGCTCGGTTTAAACGTTGCCGGAATGAGCTGCGAGCATTCACGAGGGACCTTCGACAGAACTTTGAACGCCAGCTTGCGGCAGACATAAAGACCAATCCGAAAGCTTTCTGGAATTACTCGAAGTCCAGGTTGAAGACTCGGTCGGGTGTAGACGACCTGCAGGACTCACATGGGACCTTGAGGAGTGACGACAGTGAAAAGGCTGCGGTACTGAACCAATTTTTCAGTAGCGTTTTCACCACGGAGAACACCAGTCACATCCCCGAGCCTACATGGCAGTATGAGGGCTCCAAGCTGGAGGACATTGTAATATCAGCTGACGTTGTCCACCAGAAGCTGAAGCAGCTGAAAATAACCAGTTCTCCTGGCCCAGATGGTGTCCCCAGCCGGGTGCTGGTTGAGACTGCTGGTGCTATTGCTGCCCCACTAGCCACACTGTTCCAGCAGTCACTGGATTCAGGCTGTCTCCCTGAGGACTGGAGGCTCGGGACAGTCATTCCAATCTACAAGAAAGGATGCAAGAGTCTACCCGAAAACTACAGGCCCATCAGCCTGACATCAATAATCTGCAAGGTGCTGGAATCCATTGTGCGCGACCAGATGATGAACTTTCTAAATGAGACTGATCAAATATCCAGACACCAGCATGGCTTCCGCCCCAGGCGATCCTGTTCCACCCAGCTACTGGAGACGATTGACGAGTGGAGCCGACTTATTGAGGATGGTGAGCCCCTTGACACCATCTACCTGGATTTCAGGAAGGCGTTTGACGCAGTGCCTCACCAGCGCCTGCTTAGAAAGCTCCGGGCCTACGGTGTTGAAGGAAACCTGCTGAGGTGGATTGCAGCCTTTCTTTCTGGACGCAAACAACAGGTTTTGGTGGGGGGATGCCACTCACAGTGGTCACCGGTCACTAGTGGGGTGCCGCAGGGCTCTGTCCTTGGCCCACTGTTATTCCTGGTGTACATCAACGACATTCCAGATGTGGTGACCTCATCAATCAAGATATTCGCTGATGATACAAAAGTTTATCGCAGTGTATCTAAGCCATCCCAGATTCAGGACCTCCAACAGGATATCAACTCAGTAGTTGAATGGTCCGATAGATGGCAACTGCCATTCAACGAAGCAAAATGCAAGAGTTTGCACATCGGCCCAAATAATCAGGAGCACCACTACACAATCAGAGGTAACCGTCTCGAATCTGCCAGTGAAGAGAAAGATCTGGGTGTCTTTATCGACTCATCCCTCAAGTTTAGAAAACAGGCAGCATCTGCAGCTTCCAAGGCCACCCAGGTCCTGGCCGTGATTCGGAGGTCGTTCGCTCACCTTGATGAACAGACACTGACGCTGCTCTACAAGTCTCTTGTACGTCCACTCCTCGAGTATGGCAACGTTTCATGGGGACCGTTCAACAGACACGATCAGAGGCTGTTAGAACGCATCCAGAGACGAGCAACCAAGCTGGTGTCAGGTATCAGGAACCTGCCATATCCTCAGCGTCTCCAGAAACTCAAGTTACCTTCGCTCTACTACAGAAGACGGCGCGGAGACATGCTAACGATCTACCAGCTGCTACACGCGGGAGTCGACCTGGACCCTGATGACTTTTTGGCGAGGAGCTCAATGACTACAACTCGAGGGCACGGCTGGAAGCTGGCGAAACCTCAAGCAGCGTCTCGTGTGCGGAGGAACGCACTCTGCGTACGAGCCATCAATGACTGGAACGCCCTTCCTCGTCATGTGGTCCTCGCTGAGACCCTAACCCAGTTCAAATCCCGACTCGACCAGCACTGGCAGACCATCCATTACTCAGTGCCAACCCAAGATTTAACCTAGTGTATCCAGAACTTACTCGACGAGATCGGGACCTTCAGGCGTTGTGCCTTTCTAAATCCCGATAAGTGTAGGTAAGGTAAGGTAAGGTAAGGTACGTAGGCTCACAATCATATCTGTAGTTTTTGCCAAGGCCCATTCTTGCTTTAAAAGGATGTCTTTTGTGGATTTATGGCTTCTAAGGCCTAAAATCTTTTTCGTTTCACTGCAAATGACAATGCTTCTATGTAAAGAAAAGCTGGATTGTATGTAAAAAGTGGTTATTGGCCTCAGATACACATTATTATTTCCTGTGCACTGTTAATGCTCTTACTTAAAGGGACCCTCCCACCTTCAAAAAAGTTAATGAATTGGCATGAAAGTGATGTCGCTCGGTTCAGAAAGAGCAAAAACGAATATCTACCAAATTTCATCGAAAAATATTCACCGGTTTTCAAGATATTAGACTTTTACTTTTGTTTACTTTTTGGGATCTCCGCTATTCCTAGCGACTTTATTTGAAAGTGCGGCATTTGTTGCGCGCAAAGCAGCATATACCACCGCGTGCTACAAAACGTTTTAGTCAAACATTTAACGGACGTTCGAAAGCCTGATGACGTCATCAGATTCCCGTAATGGTTAAGAGATAGGGACCAAGCTGGTCCCACCCTGCAAGTAAAGGGAAGAAATTTCTTGAACACCATAAAGCTGCGGGGGTTGCAACCAGGATAAATGGTGGTTTCTGAGCCTGGCCGCAAACTTGGCTATCTCAACTCAAAACTAATGTTAAGGTGGGAGGGTCCCTTTAACCCAGCGGCCGCTGGGCCTCCGCGCCACCCGCCGGCCGCTGGGGGGGGGGGGGCATAAAGTTGCCCCCCTTTATTTCTGCGACGATATCGTCGCAACGCGAAGAGATAGAGAAGCGAAACTTTGCACACATCTTCCTGAATACCTAGCCGAGGTTGTGTCCAAATTTGGTGTCAATCCCATTTGAAATGACGTCACAGTGACGTCATAAGTGAAATTATAGATTTGCGACTTTCATATTCCTTACGATACATCACATATATGGGACCGAATATAAAGGGCCGATAATTGGTCAGAAACTAGATGGAAGTGTAGTAAGATGTTTTAGGATGACAGCAGGTGCTGTCTAGTTCATTTACAGTCGAGTTTCATGCTCAGCGTCATCAGAAACGGTCCATATCGGAAAACGACAAAACTTTATGACGTCACTGTGACGTCATCTTAGGTGCTACAACCACCAAACTTTCCTCAAACATTGCCTAGGTATTCATTTGAAGCTATGCCAAGTTTCACGTTCGTAGCTCATCAGGTTTCGGAGATATTTCACAAAACGTAAAGGGGGGGGGGGCAAGTTTATGCCCCCCCCCAGCGGCTCGTGGGTTAATACAGCATCTCACATGATGATTGGACATTTTCAGCTTCACTGGCTAGTTTTCTGATCAGGTGTTAATTATGGTAATAATTGTTTAATTTTTCACCATGTTTT